CTCAAGGAATGCATCCTCAGTGGTCTTCTTTCTGTTGATGGACTCAAAGTAAGTCTTTCTTAATTTTTATTTTTGATGTATTTTTGCTATTAAAATCATTACACTAATACTTAAAGGTGCAGGTTTGTAGCGTTACTGGATATGTGTCACATGCAGGATGCTGACTAAATTTTGGTCCTTATGATAAAGTCAGCATCTAGCATTTGATGCAATGCCCTGAGCATGGACGTAGTTTGAAATTGGGATTGAATTCGGCCTTCACTATAGATTGTGATGAATATGGAGATACTATATTATTTATAATGCGTTTGGATATTTTTTTAATTGATCTCACCTTTTGAATTTATTTGAGATTTGTCTAGTTTGTGATCGATGTTCACATAATTAGGAAACTGACTCCATTTTTTGGATTTTTTTTCTTTGTTTTTCATCTTGCGTTTCAATGTTGACGAATCCACTCATGTTTATCATTTAGATTTGATGGAAATGCATGGATAGTTACATTTGGGAGGTTTGTGTTTATAATTTATTCAAATTGTTCTTTTATGTTTGGAAGCTCAAAGGGTTGCCCGTTATCATCGATCCTTTTACAATCTATCGATGAATGTAGATAAACGTATTGGATCTCTAAATTGTTGTTGTCTATAAGAAGTATGTGTTTTGCGTAGCTTCACCCATATCATGATTTGATTGAATATTAATTCAGAATTTTCTGTTGAATCTACATTTGAAACAGGTCTTGCATATGGATCGGAATGACTATTATGGAGGAGAATTTACATCTCTTAATCTTAATCAGGTGATTCCCCTCGTGGTCACGTTGTAAAAATCTTTTGATCTATTTGTCAGTTATGTTCTCTATATGCTTACATTTACGTTATATTTTTCCCCAAACCCTCTTCATGATTGTAGCTATGGAAGCGTTTTAGGGGAAGCGACAAGCCTCCGGAGAGCCTGGGCGCAAGCAAGGAGTACAATGTTGATATGATACCTAAGGTACTCTGTATGGCATTTTATCATTATGATCTATTTGTTGTCTTTCTGATTTATTTTTCAATTTGTTTTGCTAGTTTATTATCGCCAATGGTGGTTTGGTCCGTGTTCTGATACACACAGACGTTACCAAGTATCTTCATTTCAAGGCTGTTGATGGTAGTTTTGTGTACAATAAAGGAAAGGTACATAAAAATTTGCGTATGATCTAGATTGTCTCTTTCTACAAAGCTGTATAACAAGAGCTTGTTATCTAGTCAGAGTGTGAAATAAGTAATAATGATTTTCAGATCTACAAAGTTCCAGCAACTGATGTGGAAGCACTAAAATCACCACTGATGGGATTGTTTGAGAAACGTCGTGCTCGAAAGTTCTTCATTTATGTCCAAGACTATGAGGAAAATGATCCCAAATCTCATGAGGGTCTGGACTTGACCAAAGTTACAGCAAGAGAGGTTATCTCGTATGTGTCTCATCAACATATATATTTCTCTTTAATTAAGATGGCATCATCCATTGATGGACTTGAAAGAATTCATGCACTTTGATGTATGTTTTGTATTCTTGAGAGATAGCTGATCAAATTTAATTATTAGAGTGATGCTTATTAATAAATGTTTCGTGCAGAAAATATGGCCTAGAAGAGGACACAGTTGACTTTATTGGTCATGCCTTGGCTCTTCATCTTGATGATAGTTATTTGGATCAGCCAGCTTTGGAGTTTGTGAAGAGAATGAAGGTGGATATGCAATTCTTTGAAATTTCTTTCTCTACTATTCTTTGATGGTTACAGCAAAAAAAAAAAAAAAGAAGTAATTTCCAAGTTCTTCTGCTGCTGTTTGTTTCGTAAAGCTTTATGCGGAGTCTTTGGCACGTTTCCAAGGAGGATCACCCTATATCTATCCACTCTATGGACTGGCAGAATTACCTCAGGTTTGCTTTCAATCTATAGTTTTTTTTTTTTTTTTTTTTTTTGTGCTAATTTCGGAACCGAAAGTAAGTTTCTCTAACAGGTTGTGGTTTTTGTCAGTCATTCGCACGCTTAAGTGCAGTATATGGTGGGACTTACATGCTCAACAAGCCAGAATGCAAGGTAATTAAACTTGCAGCAATAACTTGTATCCATGGCCCTCTTTTCTAGCATATGGCCTAATTGATTATTTCAATATTCTTGGACGACAGGTAGAGTTCGATGCGGATGGGAAAGCCATTGGTGTGACTTCAGAAGGAGAAACTGCTAAATGCAAGAAAGTTGTTTGCGATCCATCATATTTGCCAGACAAGGTCAAAATCTGTCAAAGTTTTGAACTATATTGAGATCAAATTCGATCTTTTGCTTCTCTTCTTTTACGCTAAAATTTACATGGAGTATCTGTATATGTATATGGCCTTCATCTGTCACTGCTTTAATGCAACAGGTTAAGAATGTTGGAAAAGTTGCTCGTGCTATTTGTATAATGAGCCATCCCATTCCTGACACTAGTGATTCTCACTCTGCGCAAGTTATTCTACCACAGAAGCAACTTGGTCGCAGATCAGACATGTACGCAGCTGCAATTTCTTGTTCAGTTTTTATATGTACAGTTTTCTGTGTGTTTTCATCTGGTGTGCAGTTCAAGTCCAATAGCCTCTAATATAATAAGTACGATTTTTTCTGCAACTTTTCATTGATATCTCATTTTTAGTTCGATGAAGTGGTCCGTTAGCAGTAATTGGCTAACGATGATTATTCCCCATATAATAGGATTAAGATGCAGCTTGGATGAACATAAGAGATCATATAGACCTCGATCTGATAGCTGCTATCTCTAGTAGCCTATATATGCCCTTCTAATCACTGAAAAAATCCATACAGACCAGTAATTAATCTTTCGACCAAGCTGAAAGAAACAATACAGCATGAGTAGCAACTAATCCTCATTCCAGATACCTTTAAAGCTATGTACGTTAACTTTCCACCTTGCTTCTTCAGGTACCTCTTCTGCTGTTCTTATGCTCACAATGTTGCTCCACAAGGAAAATACATTGCTTTTGTTTCAGCTGAAGCTGAGACAGACAACCCTGAGGTAGAACTGAAGCCAGGAGTTGATTTGCTTGGTCCAGTGGATGAGATTTTCTACGAAACTTACGACAGATATGTCCCCACGAACAATGAGGAAGATGACAATTGCTTCATTTCTACTGTAAGTACAAACTAATAATACAGCTTTCAATATTTCACCCCTTTTTTTTTCCTAGAGAAATCCAGCCCATTTCTTATTAAAATATTAATATTCTTGGCAGAGTTATGATGCAACAACACACTTTGAGACTACAGTGCAAGATGTGATTGCAATGTACAGTAAGATAATTGGAAAGGTGAATATTTCAGAATTCTTAAAATAAATTATAAATAACATTTTTCGTTTAGTAAGACGATACCTGAAAAATATAAATAATCGTAATTTGCTTTAAAACTTCCAATTTTCCTTTAGCATCAAAATAGACATCATCAAGAACTGTGCTAAATCCTTCAAAATTTTTATGAAATAAAGCATATATATAATTCACTTTAGTTTATCTGACCAACCTAGGAAAAACTTATATTTAAAGATACTAAGTATTAATTGATTTGTAGTGATTTATATATGGAGCTAATTACTTGCAATTTTATTTTTTGTGGAACAGACTCTTGATCTTTCTGTGGACTTGAGTGCTGCAAGTGCTGCTGCTGAATAAAGACATGTTTTACATTGCTCAAAGAAATTAGTGAAACACCATTAATTAGATTTTATATTATTCAATATCTGTTCGTGTTGAAGACAAAATAAAATTTTTTTTTTGTCAATCTGTTGTTTGCAAAACTATATATGCTTATGTACTTTTAATTGGCTGATTAAGCAACACTACATTTTGAAGACTTCAACTTTTTGTGTTTTTTTTTTTTTTTTTTTTAGCCATCATTCCCCAACCCATCTCTATCAATTCATATTTTTGCAGCAATTTTGTTCCATTTTTTACCTTATTTATTCTTATGCGTAACTTGCTGTGAATTGAGTTGAATGTTGACATATATAGCTCCCAAATAGGACATTATATGTCTGTATGTCGTTCTCAAGTAGCATGCTGTAACTGCTAATGTCATGTCGTTTCGAAGTTCTGAGATGCGTTTTGTGACAACATCTCGCAGCTGGTTCAAATATTTCCCTGGAAAATTACAAGAATTGAAAATGACAAATGGAGAAGGATCCAGAAGATGATAAACTCTTTTTACTTCTCTTTTAAAAATCTATTACTTTTTTTTTTTTTTTTGACAAATCAAATTTACATGAATAATTATTTTTAATTTGCTAATTTCCTTATGCAATACCATTAATTTGAACTTTTGTACACTTATTTTTTATGCACCTTAATTACCAACATATGCCATTAACTTTTATAAACCCGTTAGTGCATTAAAAATAATGGAATATATAAAGATTTCAAAGAGAGCCAAATTGGAGAAGTCGAAAATCTTTGCCCCCTTTCATATATATATATATATATATTTTTTTTTTTTTTTTTTTTTTTTTGGTACATCTCTTTCATGCAATAAAATACAAACAATTCCTATTAAAATTATTTATAAAAAAAAGCTATCATTAAAAACATTAAAAAGACTATTTCATTTTTTAATAATTTTTTTAAAAATAGATAATTATTCAATATATCGAAAATGGTAAGAGAAAGAAATTATTTAATATATGGCAATTGTAATGGGAAAGAATACAATTTCCAGTGATGAATAATTTCATGATGTTTTTAGAGGCCCAGGCCCATTAAAAATAAACAAAGAATACGTCACTGAAATTTGAATGGCCTTTTCCTGTCTCTCTGTCTGGCACTTTATTTATTTATTCTTTTTAAAAAAAAACAAAAATTGTCTTTTGCTCACCAACACACCCTCACTGCCTTTTCACCGTTAACTCACAAGAATCAAAATCTTCCTCTGCAATTATCGTTCGAAAAAAGCTTCCCACGAGTGGGTCATGACTCGCTCGGGTCAGAAATTTAGTGTGTTCGAGTTCGACGAAGAAGAAGAGAAAGTCGAGAAGGAGTCGGCGAGGTTCGTCGACAAATTTCGAATTCGAAAGAGAAAACGAAACGGAAACAACAAGGACGACGACACTTCTCCACTCACTAAGTATAAGTTCCTTCAGTGCTGTAAGTTTTTCTTTCTTTTCTTTTCTTTTTTTTTTCCTCTCTTTTTTGGAGTCGAAATTTGAAGTGTTTTCGAGTTTTGGATGTTTGCATGAAAATTGTAAAATTAAATGATGAATTAGATAGAATAATGTGGTTAAAAAAAAAAAAGAAAAAAGAAAAGCAATTTTGATCCCTAAATTGTGAGTGATTTTGAATTTTAGTTATGAAATGCATGAAAACGAAAAAGTTAACAAGGGAATGATAATGAGGAAATTAAGTAGGTTTCGTGCTCAATGCGCTTTTTGTTTTAACTTTTTAGGTTTTATTTTCAAATTTTATTTTATATATATTTTCAAGTTTTGAACCTATACATTTGAATGGTTTTGAATTTGGCCATTTTTGAATGCCGTGAAAATTGAGAGAAAAAAAAAAAGTGTAATGATTATATAGGAATGAGGTATGTTGAATTCATTAACTTGCAGCCTTTTTTTATTTTTAAAATTTATGGATTGTTAAATCCTGTCAATTGATGTATGGGATATTGGAAAGCTAAAATAAAGCTATTGCGAGATGTAAACTTTTGAATTGTGCTTTAGCGATGATGATAGACAAGGTGAGGCTAGCCATCTGTTTTCACTCTCTGTTTCTTTTTTCTTGTCTATTATCATTGCTTCAGTATAAATGCTTTATTATATGAGATATTGGTGTCCAAAGTTCTTTTCTATATTTTTTCATCTAGTTGGTGGATGTACTGGGGCTGTGAAAGTAGAAAGTAGCACTGAACCTATTGATATAGATGATGGACCAATTGATGTTGACACTGGAGGTAAGGGAATTTTCTGCGCAAAGTTCTTTTATTTCTCTTAATTAATGTTAAATATTCAATATTAATTGCTCTCATTTGCTCAATAGTTGCTGGAGAGACCAATACTTTATGCGAGGGAAACAGCAATGACGTAGTAGATATTGATGTTACTGTTATCGATGATCCATGCCAATATTCTGTTTCAGCTCCTGCTAGAATGCCACAAGAAGATTGTGATGTCAAGGAAGATATTTCTCGGCTGGATACCCTTAGGTTATCCAGTTTCTCAAATTACGAAGTATGCACTGTGGTCCTATACTTCTGCTTTGTATGGAATGGAAGCTTGTATTCTAATCTGAGTTTGTTACTTGCCATATTTGTTATTCTTTGTGTAAAATTCTAGTAATGGCGAAAGTACTTAAAATAGCACTCTGACTAGATCGTTTTTCTCTTAGAAACTCCTCATTTAAATTGTATTATATGAAAGCTAAATATGTAGATTTTGTCCTCCCAATTATTTAACCAAATTTTTTTGCAGAATGAGTCAGTTGGTACAATTTCAGATAATGATGTTGGGATTGAAATGAGCTCATCAACTTCTGTCTCTTCTCTCACTGAGAATGAAGGTTCTAATCTTCCTTCCCCCTCATCTTTTATTGAGCTTAATTGATATTTATTCTGTACTATTTTCTCCTTGTCATTGATGATTTGATGACATTCTTTGAATAATCTGCATTCTTTCAGCTCCATTAGGAAAACAAGTGCCAGAGTGTGTTTCTGTCGGACATAAAATTGTAAGTATCCTGTGTTTTTTTTTTCCCCAAAAAAAAAAAAAATTAATTAATCTATTGATTTTGGGAGCTGCCTTAAGATTATATTTGTGAATTATGGAGGTGCAGATGGTAATTTTTCTTATTTTTAAGTAAATATGCGTGAAGGTGAACTGCACAAGTTATATGTAGCAAGATATATAGTATAGATCTAAAGACGCAACTTCACATTGTCTTCATTATGACCTAAAATATTTTCATTAGATCAGATTTTTGCCAGCTTGCTCTGTTCTGACAAATGTTTCTTAGAAATTAAATGACTCTTTCCATTTTTTTTTCAATGAACCATAGTTTATTCTATTTTGGAGTGTTGGAATGCCTAACTTCTTAACCTATTAGAGGTTGGAAGTCCTCCAAATCTGCATCTATTTGCTGGATTTCAAATGGCTAATTCTGATAGTGGTGAGCGAAAACCACTTTTTAAAATTCATACATGTTCTCTTTAAATATAGTCCTTTCTTATGTTTAAGAAAAACACACTTCCTAAAAGAGATTCCTTTGGAAACTGTCCCATTTGTAAAAGAGAAAATGAATAAACCAAAAATAATCGATATTTGTCAGCAACATTCATTTCTATCCTCACTCTGCATTATAGCTTGTTGATATGGTTTATTCTGCCTTGAACTCTATGTAAAGTAACTGAAATAATTCCCTGAATTCATTTTTGGGTGCTTTGAGGATGACTGCAATTGCCCCTTATTTACTGCCTGCACCGAGAGATGCAAAAGTTTTGCTCCTTTATGATTCTTCCTTGTTAAAAGTCTTGTGTCCTCTGTCTTAATCCAATATCAGATGGCCATCCCTTTTTTTCTGCGGAACTCCTTCTCCATCCTCCCCCTCCTCTCTTGTTTTGGACGTACTATTACTATACACGGTCCACTTCAATTGATTTTAATAGCTTAGAACTTATTGATCAAAGCATTTGTTTGTATTGCAGGATTACACAAATAATACAGTTGCTGTTTTCCCTGACATTATCCTATGTGGCGCCATATACGGTGCAGAGTCTTCCTTAACTTTCTCGGGAAGCAGCATCAGAATGGAGGGTTCAACTGCAAATGGGGTCAAGGGAATATTTTGTGCTGAGTGGACTCTTGGTGATATTATTAGTATTGAGTCAAAATGGTGTGAGACAGTGAGTTGTGCCATCCTTACTTCCTCTTTCATATGCATGCTGATTTGAGCAAGTTAAATTTGTTGCATCACTGGATGTAGGTTATGACTGCTATGGTTTGTCTCTGCCTCAAATCAAAGGTTTCTGAAGGAGCTGGAAATACAAATGATACTTCAGGTTTGTACAAATCCAGTAGGATTTTGTTCAAACTGTTTTTTACGTTATATCTTGATAGATCAGATTCTAGGATGCACAAGCAGCTTTATATGCACAATTTATCATGATATCTCTCCTCCACCCTGTCAGGGGTACCACTTTAGAGATGCCTTATTGTCTCCTGCTTTGACACACTTTTTTTAGATGTTTATTCAGCTTGCTTTATGCATTTTTTTTTCCTGTACAATCTCGGATATAATTCATTGTAGTTTTTTCCTTAACACCATGTGGTGCATTGTGCCATCATGCCATTTGCAATAGAGATATGATTATAGTATCTCTTTGTTACCAGTCACCTGGCCGCATGAGCAAAACTATTATAAACTAGATTAGTCTGTGCATTGTTTGGGGACATAACCTTGACTAGCTTTGGATTGAGGCTTGCTTGTCATTCTTGCTGTGTTGATTTGGTGCCTTTGCCTTTTTTCGTAAGTTCTATATTTGTTGCCTCCTGCTCCTAGTTACAGCAATGCCAGCATTCTCTATCGATTGGCACAGATTTAAATCTTGGCCAATATGAATCAAAATGTATCTATGTGATTATTGTTTTTTATATTTATGTTCAATTTGTTTTGCACTTATATTGGAATGGAATATGTTCCATGGAAAAAATAAATATTATTTGTAATTTATATCAATAGACCTCTAATATGCTCTGTTTTTCTGAAAAAAATGCATGCAGATGTTAACAAGTTGAAGTTTTCAGTTTATGATCCTCTTTGGCATGAAGGAGAGGATGCAATCAAATCATTACATGTCAGATACAGGGATAACTGGAATGTTACTTCTGAGTGAGTTTTCAACTTAGTAGCTAATACCCACCAATCTATTTATGTGTGTTTATATAATTATCCCAGATGATTCTTGCTTAATTTTTCTGAGGTTGTTCAGCTGGTTAGGTATTTATTAGCTTTTTTAATGAATTGCTAATTTCGATTTCTATACATACCACATGCTAGCTTGTGTTCCTTTTGCAGTTTTAATTTCAAGTTCTTTGTGCCTTTTGACTTCGCTCTATTTTGCAGCGGGAACTATTGTTCCCGATGTAAGTTCTTTTTAATAGCTTCTTTTACTTAGATTTAATAGCAAATTTTATTGATGAGAGGTTCATTATGGAAATCATTATGTTCCTCTTTATTTATTTATTTATTTTTATATGCTACAGCTCTGATTGGAAAACGGATGGAAATGCCTTTTTTGGGCATAATGGGATGGTCATCTCAAAACCTTATTTTCCAGTGTAAGTTGATGGATAAATTTAAATATTTGCTAACCGAATACCAAATAGAGTATGATTTTTCTCATTAAGTAACTTGGTTGTTGGCCTTGATGGTTGTGAGTCTCTATCTCCCTTTTTATATACACTCTTCCCAGTTATAATATTTATATTTGTTGCTTTTGTTAGCTTTTGGGTTTTTGGTGTCACATATAATTTATCTGGTAAATCACTTTTCTAGACAGGAATTCTCTCATACCTTGACATAGGTTGAGTATACCTGGAATCACCCTTTCTTTTGACAGCATGAGGTCTTTGATTCTAACTTCTGAAATTTAGGTAGATCGTTGTCAGAACAATCTTTTAGTCTTGAACATTTCCAATGGTAAAAGTCTTGAATATTTTTACCTTCTATGGTCTACCATCCTTCTGCAAAGTGTTTTTTCTTTTTCTTTTTTCTTTTTTTTTAAAAAAAAGCTGTGAACCTTCTCTTTTCTATGTGGCTTTTGCTGATTATATGGGTATCTGGCAAGAATGTGTGGTCTCGAATTGTATATTTGCTTGATTAGTTTATAATTCCTGTACAACATATGCTTTATATATGAATGTGTATTTGCAATCTTGAACTAGCTATCTTTTTTCTTCAAACTGAATTTCACTCGTTTTTCCTTGATAATTGTTTCTAATTGAAGTTCTTTTATTTCAGTCTTCATGAGACCTTTGAAGAGGTTATTTATCCTATTGGTGATCCTGATGCTGTTTCAATTTGTAAGAGAGATGTGGAGCTTTTACATCCAGATACATTCATCAATGATACCATCATTGACTTCTATATCCAGTAAGTATTGTTTGAAGAAATTCATGGATAAGATGTGTTATAAAGTCATATCAGTTTTGAGTTGAAGTCTGATATACTCTGATATACAAGTTCATGAAGCAGAACCGTATCATAAAGGGATAAGTGTTTTCTTTTCTTTTCTTCGACCCGCCCCCGCCCCCCCCCCCCCCCCCCCCGGCGCGGAGAAAGCAGCATTTTTGAGATCAAAAGTTCAGGTCTGGGATTCTTGCATAAGATCTGTTATAAAGCAGTTCAGTTTCATGTTGAGAAAGTAGAAAGTAGCACCTTTGGGTTCAAAACTTAAGGTCTAGGATTGTAGGACTTTAACTAAATTTGAAAATAATCAGTTGATAACAGACCTAGACATGAATGTTTCGAAGAGGTAACATCTAATCTAAGGTGTTTAATTTGTGATTATATTTGTTAAATCATAATTTTACTGCATAAATTATTTGGAGACATGGGATAAAGTTGTTTTATTGCTATCGTTTTTGACTGGAACAAATTATGGAAATCTTTCCCAAGGAGTAGATTTTTTCCCCAAAGTCCACCTATTGCTGATTGCTTAAGTCTGATTGCTTAAGTTGAAGGGTAGGCTGCATGATTAGTGCTTAAGTTGACACAAGGCCTTGTCGTGAGTGATGTTAGTCATATGTTTGCATGTGAATTTGCTTTTCTTGTAAATAATTATCTATGGCTGGTGGTTAGTTCAAGAAATGAATATGAAGGGATTCATTAAACTTGTAAATATGGCTCAGTCCAGGCTGGCAGGTTGGTTGCGGGTGGCCTAACTCTACTCATCTTTCCATTCTTAATTTAGGATTTTCATTAGGACACTGCTACACCCTTACCTAATATCAATAATTTACGTGCTTTAAGTTAAAGTGTTTTTTTATCCTTGTCTGGCAAATAGCACTAGTAATTAGTTTTAAGACTTGGCACTGAGGAGCATTAAACGAAAGACATTGGATATAGCAACTTTTGGTTATGGGAGAGTTTGATGTTAGTAAGCTTTCTATGTAAATTGCTGTGCTGTGAACAGTTTGTTGTGCTTGGTGAACTTTTCCATGTCCTATTTCTTATTGAAGCATTATTCACATTGTTTTTTGGTATTTTCATGTGCTTTTTAACTAATGAATCTCTCAGGCTTATGGGGCTTTGTTTTCTTTGTCTACAACGTAAAATAACAGAGAAATAAAAATTTTTCCAATTGGCAGATATTTAAAGAATAAAATTCAGCCCGAGGACAGGCATAGGTTCCACTTTTTCAATAGTTTTTTCTTTCGGAAGCTTGCTGACCTAGACAAGGGCCCATCTAATGCTTGTGAAGGCAGGCTAGCTTTTCAACGTGTTCATAAATGGACAAGAAAGATGAATCTTTTTGAGAAGGATTACATTTTCATTCCTATAAATTACAGGTGAGAAATAGGTCTGCATTCATTTTGCCTATTAACCCGCAGACATTGTCTTATGTACTGTTTGCTAATGTGAAATATAATAAACTTTCTCGGTGGCAGTCTTCACTGGAGTTTGATTGTCATCTGTCATCCTGGAGAAGTGGCTAATTCCAGAGGCAAGGGCCCATGTGATGGTCTTTTTATTTTGTGTTTTAGGTCTATCTTTGCTTTATTTTTTTGGTAATCTTGCAGAGGATGAAGGCAAAAATTCAGCTAAGGTACCATGCATCTTGCACATGGATTCTATCAGAGGAAGTCATAGGGGCCTCAAGAATCTTATTCAAAGGTAACCTATTTATTGCTGTGGTTATTCCTACTTTGCCATTGTATGTAGTTGACTCTATGACACCAAGGAAAAACTTTAACATCTTTTGTATTTAATTTCCTGATAATAACACAGTGGTAACATACTAGTTGTAGTTGTTTGGATGGGAAAACTGCATTGCACTTACAATTCCATTTACTTTGAAATAGTTTTGTTTTTTCCCTTTTATTATATTTGCCTGCTAACTCATGCTTTGAATGCCTTAAATTAAATGAGTTCTTTGTTTACATGCCATGAGATGGCAGTTATCTATATGAAGAGTGGAAAGAAAGGCACAATGAGATGGTGGATGATACATTGTCAAAGTTCTTACATTTACGGTTTATCCCACTTGAGGTACTGTCTCACTTTTAAAATAATTTGCTGTTTTGCCGTTTAATTCATTAATAGTTGCCTTGAGAGGATGGAGTTAGTATAAAGGCATTATTATGTCCAAATCTTGTCAATCCATCAAAAACTTAATTAGTTAATAAAAAGTTCTTAAATACTTTCATGACCATTTAAGTTCTTTTGTTTAATTTCAAATTTAGATATTTTATTGGCTCAAATCTAGAAATGTAAAGTTGCTGCATCATAAACTTCCCCAAATATTTGTTCATGGATTACCATTTTTTGAAAATTATCAAGTTTTCCCTTTATACAGTTTCAAAAGTCCTATTAACTGCAATTTCTGGTACCCATTTTGATTCAGCTTCCACAGCAGGAAAATTCGTTTGACTGTGGCCTGTTCTTGCTCCATTATGTTGAACTTTTTCTTGAAGAAGCTCCTATTAATTTCAGTCCTTTCAAGATAACAGAGTTTTCAAACTTTGTAAGTGACTTTTATCCATGCCAAGCAAATTTTTTTGTTTTCTCTAGTTTTGCTTTCATTGGATCATCTGCTCGGTTTGGACTTTTTTGTGGTGATTACAGTAGTTACCTAATTACACCTCTGTGGTAAGACGTTTGGAATAAATAAATATTCATCGTAATATAACTGAGTGTTATCAGTGCTAAGTATTTCCAAGTTAAGCAATCTATGAGCCCATGCCTGCTGGCATCCTTGCTTTACTTTGCAATTGTCTCTGAAAGCAACCCCTATGATTACTGATGATTTTGGCTCTTCTTTTATATATTTGCATTTTCAATAAAAGGTGTTATTTTTTTTTCTCAATACTAGTTTGTGTTTCTTAGTAAACTGTCTTTTTTTCTTAAATTATGTATCACAATTGCAATTGTGGAAGTCTTTTACAACTTTATAAACTGCAAGAACTGTTAGAATTTCTATAAATAAAATTGGTAACTTCTATCGTTTCTTGCTTTTACTGGGACTCCATTCCCTCTCTCCCAACGTCAATTTTCTCGATGGGGTTAGAACTAGAAGGCCTCAAATCCTGCCGTCCGGGACTGTAAATACTAAGCTGAAATTGAATAATCACTGTCCATTATCTTTATATTTAGCATTGCTTTTTCTGATCTGAAAATGTTTTTCTCAAGATGCTTTTTGTGTGTAACAAAATTATTAATCTTTGACCAGCTTAATAGAAATTGGTTTCTACCTGTGGAGGCCTCTCTGAAAAGGTCATGCATCCAGAAGTTGATCTGTGAAATTCTTGTAGATGGGTTGTCTACCCAATCTTGTGATCCAAATAAGGAAGAAACTGGAGTTGAGTTTCTGGAGGAGATATCCAGGGCAGTATCTGGTCCTGACACTGATATGGGGATTCAGATTTCACTCACAGCGAAATCTCCAATGAGAATTGCACAACAACGACGACTTGGAGAACTAGGATTGAATTCCAGGGATTTGTTCGAACCAAGAGCTAGTGCAAGGTCCTTTTCCAATAAAGATCGCTGGCAGACAAGAACACTTCATTGGAGTAGTTGCATGTCACCGGTACAGGTACTTGTTTATCTTTACTGGCAATGATCAATTGTTTCCTTTCAAGTTACTGAATTTTCCCACGTTTCCTGAAAACAGGAGGCTGAAGAAACTGGTGAGCAAATCTCTGATTCATCATCAAACACCGAAGATGATTGGCAACCTGCTAACTTGGCAACTGAATTTTCCTCGAACTCATTTTCTCACAAAGATCTTAGATCTCTCGGTTCATCTAGGAATCGGAAATATATGCAGCTTGAGGAAGCTTATGATGGCTCCAGTTCTGGTGCATCCATCAGTGGATCCCTTAAATCATCAGAGATAGGGGTGGGGGTTGATCAAGATCATTTGCTTTCACAATTTGAGGGATTTGCCCATCAAAAACAAACTGATTGCCATGAACTTTCTTCAAAATCAATCAAGTCTGAGGAATTTGCTGATTGTGTTGTTGACTCTCAAGAGGGAAACTGCATGCACAATGACCATGTGGCTACTGATTCACCATCCTCCTTTCATTGCAATAACCTTGCTGCATCAGTCGATGCAATTAACGCTGCTGAAAACATTTTGAGAAAAGTCCGAAAACCTGTAAGCAATGTGGATTGGGCATCAGATGAACAGAATGCAGAAAGGACAAAGCTTACATCTTCTGATGGCACATGATGACTTGGAGGAAGCATTTCCGAAGAGTCGCATCTCAGTTTGAACAGCGGTTTTAGAACAGTACATATCTTGTAAGGGCTTGTGAGTAAGGAAACAGCCAGTAGTTTGAAGGGTCTTTAGATCAGTAAATATTATAGAAACAGGTAGAGAAAGGAAAAGAGAGAGAGAGATTGGTTTTCTGTGGCACATTAACCTTGATACCAATAGAAAGCAAGAAGGTGCTTTTGCAATGGCTGCCATATCCTGGATTCTGAATTCTGAAAAAGCTCTTTTAAGCAAATGATGAAATGTCATATATGCTTTGAACTTGCCTCATTTCTGCACTCTGCTCTAAAGCATCAATTTACTTTTGAATTAAATAAATTAAAAATTTTGTTTGACTAATTGAACAAGCATTATGAGATGGAGAGAGTATAATTAATGTGCAACCTATGATTTGAGTGAAAAAAAAAATTGTTTATACTAAATTGAAAAATGGTTAATATGGGACTTTGTGAAGTAAAAGTCTGAACTCGACCCATGGGCTAATTTCCTAATCTTGAGGAGATTCTTGGGCTTGCATGTTTGTGGGAATTACTTGCTAGAAGAATGGCCAGTAGAGAATGGGCAGTGCCATGCCAGCTTTAAAATTTGAGCAAAATGTTCCAGCATAATCACATATCCCCCTTTGAAATTACAACTTGCACTACAAAGAAATGACATTGCCGATCTTCGTTTTGTTTCATGGGTGGTGGGCATGCAAAACCCTATGTTCATCCTCCCTATCAGCATATTTTGAGTCACGCATCTTAAAATGTCATCTGTTCTCACTATTTTTATTTATACCATTTTTCAATTTCTTACAATAAAAAGGAACAAAAAGAATTAAATTACAAGAAAATTTAAATTATAGACTAATAATTAGTTTTTAAAATAAGGGGACTGATTAATTCATTTTTCAAATCTGGCGAGAAAGTTTGATAATTTACTCCTAAATTCATGCTTAGAAAAGGAACTCAATCGAGTGGGAAATACTAGAAACTGAACCCAAAATGGGCAAACAGTAGATATTAGATAACATCATTGAACAGTCCGGATTCAAACTGGAATACATAAGCAGCATATCACAACCTCCTTATTTAGCAAGTCATAATATTTGAGTGGAGGAGATAATACAGCATTTTGCATTTTAAAGCCACTGCACCTTACTGATCCATGACAGGTTTTGACAGATGGGGGACGAACTCATGTCCTGGATCTTTAGGTGGAACCCAAACAAGGGTATCACTGGCTAGAAAGTGACAGATAGTCATTCCTGGCTTAGCTTTAAGGATTTGAAAGGCTAGTTCCTTTGGGTTCCAAGCAGATGTCTCTTCATGGCAAATAGTCACTACTTTAATCCTTGTACCATCAGCACCCAGTAATGGAACCGTATAAGCCTTGGTGCCCTTCATTTCATGGCAATAATACAGAGCGTATGGATATACGTTCTTATGGCATACCAATGCCCTGTCTCCAATCCTTTGGGGTGCTTTTAAAACAATATATTCTTGTTTCTTACCCGGTTGAGAAGAAAGAACCCTACCGATTTGGCCAAACCTTGTAACAGCAAAGTCAATCATTGATTCTAAAGATTGAGGACAAAATTTTTCTTCTCCTTCCATTTTTGGCACTTCACACAGATCTATTACATCTGCTATGGTCTTAGCTTCTTCTGATCCAGCCTTTATTGAAAAAAGGTCCAAAATTTTGGGTATATTGTCACTTGAAAACGGAATGGACTGGGCGGTTTGACGAGGCAAGAAACCCACTTTACTTCCAACATTACGGAAATCCATTTTCATCCTTCTACCAGGGTAGAGATCTCCAGGTAAGTAGAATCCTGCTACATCGGAGAAGTCACCCTTCGCAGCATCCATCCAATTGTTCATAATGACCATGCCATCCTCGGAGAAACTATTTTTGCTTTCCTTGTTATCTGCTTGCAATTGTCAATCACAAATAAGTATAGAACATATCATAACATTAATTATAACAGGTAGTAATGACAATGTTAAGTAGATTTCTTAAGAAGCTCAACCCAACAGTTTATTTATTTATATATTATTATGAGCTAAAAACTGGTCATAAAGATTTAGTTTCAAATGATATAATTATCACATTAAATATTTTTGTTTTGTTTCACACCTTTCAATTATTTTGTAAAACTGAAGATTTATAAATGTACGTAGAGAACGTGAGTAGCAAAATTATGAAACAAGAACTTCTCATAAAAAAAGTGTTCTAAAGGATATAATTATTTGCAAGATTAAGAGTGATATGATATATGCGATGAGCTTTCATCTGTCAAACAATTATCCACATATATTAGTTGGATTGACTCGAGATGAGGTTGCTTGCTTCTCGATATATGTTTCTTACCAAGACTGATAATGTAATGCTCCTTGGAGAGGTCATCCTTTGCATCATCATTTTTATTCTTCATAATCATGTCTTTGTGATCTGTTTGCAATTGCCAATCATCTATTAATTGGATTCACTCAAGAAAGCATGATGAGTTTACTCAAACTAATATTGATATATGTTTCTTACCAAGACTGATAATGTAATGCTCTTTGGAGAGATCATCATTTGCATCATTCATCATTTTCTTCGTACTCGTGTCCTTGTGATCTACTTGTAATTGCCACCACAAAATATACAAAAAATAATAACTTAACGTAAAAATAAAATAAAAATTATACCAAACAACCTTATATTTTATTAGACATTTTATTTTTAAAAAAATCTTTCATGTAATTAAGAAATATTTCTTAATCTGGATCACATGTTATGTTTTATTTTAAATTTATAAGTTATAATTAAAGGCTTGAAATCCATTGGACGATGTAGTTGTAGGTTAGGTGCATATCCATGATGAATAGAAATACAAAATTAGGTTAAAAAAGAAAAGGTTTCTCAATCTAACGATATAAATATTATATAAAGTTCATATTTTTCATCGACATATAAAATCCCGAAGTATTAGCATGTACTAAAAAGCTATATCTTTTTTATAGCATTAGTATTTATTCAATAATTTTTTGAGTATTTAATCAATCATGACAAGAGATATGTATCTTGTTTATTTATATTGCATTTATATGCTTGAGCATAATTAATTTACTTTACATTTCAGTCAATTTGTAAAAAAGAAGGTCGATGAATGTGGAGTACATGACTAGCAAAATTACAAGCAAAAAACTTCTCCAAGAAATTTAGTTAAAAGATATAATTATTTGCAAGCTGTGTGATATGAGATGCAATGAGCTTTTGTTTGATAAACAATTATCCCGTATATATATAGTATCTACTACATATATAATTATTGGACTTACTCAAGGAAGTAGGATGAGTTTACTCGTTTGATGTATGTTTCTTACCAAGACTAATAATGTAATGTTCCTTAGAAAGGTCATCCTTTGCATCATCCTTCTTGTTCTTCATTCTCATGTCTTTGTGATCTACTTGCAATTTCGAATCACAAATGTACAGAAAATAAATATTAAATTAAATATATAAAAAACAAAAATGATAACAAATTACCTAAATTATATTTTGTTTTATATGTTAATTGTTTCATTTCAAATCATTTAATTATTTTGTAAACTTTCTTATAGTTACATGATATGCAATGAACTTTCATCTGTTAAACAATCATATATATATATATATATATATATATATATATATATATATTGCTTACCAAGACTGATAATATAATGCTCTTTGGAGAGGTCATCATTCTTTACATCATCATTCATATTCTTCAAGCTCATGTCCTTGTGATCTGCTTGCAATTACCAATCACAAATGCACAAAAAAATAAAAACTTAAAATAAACATAAAATAAATTTTATACTAAATGACATGGTTTTTGTTTGATATTTTTGTTTAATTTCGAATCTTTCAATTATTTTTTAAAATGGAAGTATATGAATGTGAAGTGCATGACTAGCAAAATTATAAGGTAAATACTTCTCCCGTAAAAAAATTAGTTTTAAAGGATATAATTATTTACAAGAATTGTGACATGATATATATGCGATGTGATTTTGTTTGTTAAACAATTATCCTACATATATTAAATCCACCACGTACATTTATATTTATTGATTTGCTTAAGAAGCATGCATGATGAATTCACTCACACGATATTAATATTTCTTACCAAGACTGATAATGTAATGTTCCTTTGAGAGGTCATCCTCATCCTTTCTACTCTTTATGCTCATGTCCTTATGATCTGCTCGCAATGGCCAATTACAAATAAACATAATAAATAAAAAGTAAAAGTAAACGTAAAATAAAAATATTGATACCAAATGGTCTGATATTTATTTATTTATTTATTATTATTATTATTACTCTTTAAAATACTTCAATCTTCACCAACCCCCAAAGCCCAACACCCGCCCACCCACCCCCCAACAAAAAAAAAAAAGAGTGTTTAGGAATATAAACGATATTTGCAAGAATAGTAGTGACAAGATATGTGATGGGCTTTTATTTGTTACACAGTTATCATATATATATATATATATATGTTAAATCTAGAACATGTACATAATTCAAATCACTAAAGGAAGTAGGATGTGTTTTTTTATTTGATGTATGATCCTTACCAAGACTGATAATGTAATGTTCTTTGGAAAGATCATCTTTTACACCAAGCTTCCTATTCTTCATGCTCATGCCTTTGTGATCTGCAAGCAATTTTCAATAAAAAAATATATACAACAAATAAAAAATTAACATATATATATATATATATATATATATATATATTACAAAATCAATCATTTTGAAAATTTGAAGATAAATGAATGTGGAGTCCATGAGTGGCAAAAATATGAGTTAAGTACTTCTCAGAGAAATCTAGTATTAATTAAAGGATATAATTATTTGCAAGAACGTACTGTAAAATGATATGCGATGAGCTTTCTTTTGTTAAACAATTATCCTACATCTATTAAGCACACTAAATTTTTATATTTATTAATTCACTCAATGAAGATGTACGGATGAGTTTACTTGCTCGATATATATATATATATATATATCTTACCAAGGCTAATAATGTAATGTTCCTTGGAGAGGTCATCCTTCCTACTTTTCATGCTCATGTCCTTGTGATCTGCTTGTAGAGGACAATTACAAATATATATACAGAAAACAAAAACTTAAAGTAAACATAAAATTAAATTATTGATGCAAAATGGCCTTATTTTTAGTTATATATTTTTATTTCTTTAAAATCTTTCAATCTTTTTGTCAAAATAATGCTTAAGAATTAATGTAAGTTCATGACCATTAAAATTATCACCTAAACATTTCTCATATCTAGAATTTAGCTTTAAATTATATAATTATTTACAAGAACAGTGACATGATATGCGATGAGTTTTCATTTGTTACATAATTATCATACATATATTAAATCTACTACATATACATAAATTTGATTCACCAAAGGAAGCATGATATTGTGTTTTCTCATTTGATATATATATATATATATATATATATATATATATATATATATATATAATTCTTACCAAGACTGATAATGTAATGCTCCTTGGAGAGGTATCTTTTACATCATCCAATTTTTTATTCACAATGCCCATGTTCTTGCGATCTGTATCAATAATTTATATATATATATATATATATATATATAATTCTTACCAAGACTGATAATGTAATGCTCCTTGGAGAGGTCATCCTTTACATCATCCAGTTTTTTATTCATAATGCCCATGTTCTTGTGATCTGTATCAATAATATATATATAAATATATATATTAGTTGGGTTCACTCAAGAAAAATGGATGAGTTAACTTGTCAGATATATATTCCTTACCAAGACTGATAATGTAATGCTCCTTGGAGAGGTCATCCTTTACATCATCCAGTTTTTTATTCATAATGCCCATGTTCTTGTGATCTGTATCAATAATATATATATATTAGTTGGATTCACTCAAGAAAAATGGATGAGTTAACTTGTTAGATATATATTCCTTACCAAGACTGATAATGTAATGCTCCTTGGAGAGGTCATCCTTTACCTCATCATTTATAATATTGTTCAACCTCATATCCTTGTGATCTGCTTTCAATTGCCAATCGCAAATATACAAAAATAAAAACTTCAAAGTAAACTTAAAACAAAAATTATACCAAAAGGCCTCATTTTTGCCTATTTTTGTTGGTTTTAAATCTTTCAATCATTTTGTGAAAAACAAGGTGTATATATATATATGAATGTGGAGTACATGACTAGCTAATTAAAGTATGAGGTAAATACTTCTTATAAAAATTATTGATTCACTCAATGAAGCAGATTGAGTTCACTCGATCACTCCACACATATATATATATATTGCTTACCAAGACTGATAATGTAATGTTCTTTGGAGATGTCATCCTTTCCATCACCCATTCTACTCTTCATGCTCATGTCCTTGTGATCTGCTTGTAGTGGCAATTACAAATATATAAAAAATAAAAACTTAAAGTAAACATAAAATAAAAGAGATACCAAAATGCCTTCATAGTTATTTATATATTTTTGTTTCATTCAACCTTTTTGTAAAAGAAAAAAATGTTAATTTGAGAACGTAAAGTTAATGACCATCAAAATTATGAGCTAAAAATTTCTCATAAAATTAAATTTTAAAGGATATAATTATTTGCAAGAAAAATTAATGACATGATATATGCGATGATGAACTTTCGTTTGTTATACAATTATCCTCCATCTATTAAATCTACGACATATACAGGAAGCAGGATGAGCTTACATGTTCAATACATGATCCTCATCAAGACTTGATAATATAATATTCCGTCAAGAGGTCATTCTTAGCATTATCCTTCCTATTTAATTATAATATCAATGTTCATGCTTGTTGTACGTATCTTGCAATTGCCAATAAAAAAATATAAAGAAAATAAAAACTTAAAATATACATAAAATAAAAATATTATCTAATGGCTTCATATTATATTAAATATTTTTGTTTCTTTTCAAATATTTCATTCATTTTGTAAAAAAAAAAAAAAAAAAGGCATATGAATGTGGAGTACATCATCAGTAGCCAATTTTTAAGATCAGTTTGCTCATTTTTTATATATATGTTTCTTGCCGAGACTGATAATGTAATGTTCTTTGGAGAGATCATCCTTTACATTATCCTTTCTATTCTTCAGGCTCATGTCCTTATGATCTGCTTGCAATTCCCAAACACAAATATGCAGAAAATAAAAATTTAAAGTAAGCAAAAAGAAAAATGATACCAAATATATGGCCTCATGCATATTTTGTTAAATTAATATTTTTGTTTGTTCAAATATTTCAGTCATATTGTAAAAATGAATATTTAAGATGTAAAGTACATGACTGGTAAAATTATGAGCTAAGAATTTCCCTTAGAAATTTGGTTTTAAAAGATATGATTATCAAATGAATATTTTTGTTTTAGAAATTTGATTTATGTTCTTAATTTACCAAGACTAATGATGTAATGTTCCTTGGAGAGATCATCCTTTGCGTCATCCTTCCTATGCTCCATGCTCTTGTCCTTGTGATCTGCTTGCAATTGTCAATCATGCACAAATATAAAAAATACAAAATAAAAACTTGAAGTAATTATCCTAGCTATATATATCTACTACATAAATATTTATTTGAATCACTCAAGGAAGCACAATGAGTTTGATCGCTTGATTTATGATCCTTACCAAGACTGATAATGTAATGTTCCTTTGAGAGGTCGTCGTCCTTGTTATTCATAATATTATCCATCTCCTTGTGATCTGCTTGTAGGTAATGTCAATTACAAATTAAATATAAAAAAATAAATACTTAAAAGATGCTTAAAATAAAAATGATATCAAATGGCCTCATATTATGTTAGATATTATTGTTTCTTTTAAATCCTTTGATCTTTTTTTTTTTTTTAAGTAAAAATGAAGGTATATGAATAATATTGTGGAGTACATGAGTAGCAAAATCAGGGGGAAAATTCTCAGATATAGAAATTAAGTCTTAAAAGATACAATTATTTACAGGAACTGTGACATGATATTCGATGAGCATTTTTTTCTTAAACAATTACCCCAAATATATTAAATCTACTACATATATATATATATATATATATATATATATATATATATATTAATTGGATTCGTTCAAAAAAGCATGATGAGTTTACTCGCTTGATATATATATATATATATCTTACCAAGACTGATAATGTAATGTTCTTTAGAGAGGTCTTTCTTTGCATCATCCTTCTTACTCATAATGTCCATGTCCTTGTGATCTACTTCCAATTGCCAATCACATATATTAAAGTTCTCACATATCTATTAATTAGATGAGTTTGCTCGCTCATTATTGGTTGCTTACCAAGACTGATAATGTAATGTTCTTTAGATACGTCTTTCTTTGCATCATCCTTCATATTCCCAATGTCCATGTCCTTGTGATCTGCTTGCAATTGCCAATCACAAATATATATTTAAAAAAAAAAAAATGCAATGATCATACCACATGACCTAATATTGATTTGTTTGGTATTTTCATTTCGTTTCAAATCTTTCAATAATTTTGTAAAAATTAAGGTTTAAGAATGTGGTGTACTTGACTAGATAAATTATATTTCTTACCAAGACTAATAATGTAATGTTCCTTGGAGTGGTGATCTTTTGCGTCACTATCCTTTTCTTTCGCAATGCCCATGTCTTTGTGATCGGTTTGATTATGATTGCCAATCACAAATATACAAAAATTTAAAATTTAAAATATACATAGCCTAAAAATAGTACCAAGTGGCTTGATATTATGTTAGATATCTTTGTTTGGATTCAAATCTTTCAATCGTTATGTAAAAATGAAGGTTAATGAAAGTGGAATGCATGACTTGCAAAATTATGAGCTAAATACTTCTCATAGAAACTTAGTTTTAAAGGATCTAATTATTTGTAAGAATTGTGACATGATCATATGGAATGAGCTTTCGTTTGTTAAACAATTATCCTAGATATATTAAATCAATTACATGTATATTTATTTGATTCATTTGAGGAAGCAGTATGAGCTTGACATGCATATACGTTCCTTACCAAGACTGATAATGTAATGTTCTTTGGACAGGTCATCCTTTTCATTCTTAATGTTCATGTCCTTGTGATCTGCTTACAATTACCAATCACAAATGAGAAGATAGCACATATAATATTAATTATAACAAGTACTAAAATTCTAGAAACTATTAATGGAAAATAATAATTAAGTAAACAAATTATGCAAGTCTAGTACTGGCCGGTAGTAGGCAAAAAAAAAAAAAAAAAAAAACCACCTCGATGGTATAATATGTTTAGTTCTCAAATTTTTTTTGCATATATATTGCAACTTTAGTTATTAAAAAAAATAATCTAAATTACAATCCCAGCCATTGAAGAAGTGACTTTAAAAAAACAAACAAATGAGTAATATAGTGGTGTGTTTGATGTCATTTGCGTTATGTGTTTTCTGTTTTAGTTTTCAAATTTTATGAAGCAAGAAAAAGAAGCTTGTTTGTTTTGAAATCTACGAATATATATTAAATCTCAAGATTTTTAATAAGTTTTAGAGATTTATCTCTCTTTTTTTTTTTTTTTTTTTTTTGGGATCTTCTAGACATTTACTTAATTTGACTGTCGTGCTATATAAGTGAGTGTTTTCTTCTTGTTTTTTTTTTCTTTTTTTTTAATTGATAATATTAAGGTTTGACAAATTTTTATTTTATTAAAAATCAAATTAATTCTACAAATATAATTTTTAAGGATAAAATCCTAAAAAAAAGCTAATTAAACTTTAATATCAATATAATGCTTTTATGATACAAATTGGTGTGTTTATATAACCCTCTTTTTATTTTTTATTTTTTTCCAATCAATACTCTCCATTTAATTAATATCCAATCGTTTTCCTTATCATAGCGCTTTTGGTATTCCTTATTAGTCCAACCATACTAATAATCCCACTATCATCCAAAATGGTACTTTTGCTTTTCATATTTGAAAGCAATTATTATTACTATTATTATTATTATTTTGAAAGCAATTATTAAACTCGTATTTCTGAACGATCTCTAGCTAGTTTCTACTGTGAAAGTTAGAATCATCAAAATACAAAACTAAAAACCGTCGAAAAACAAAAATCTTTTCATTTTTTTTTTTTTAATGAAGAACGTTTTCAGTGATATATTAGAAAAAGAAAAAAAATGGTTGAATAATTTAATTATCATGTAGCCATGGTTGACTGCAAAGTATTGGCAATTAATCCACCCGGTTTACCAATGTGATAGCATTAAAACAAGTTTAAATATTGGGCCTTTTACTTACGATATACGTAAAAGATGGTTTATGTATCAAGATAATAAAGAAAAAATTTTAGAAAAAGCAAAGCTGCAGATCACGAAGAAACAATCACATATTGTAAACTTGCCATCTTGCTGCAGAAGAGCTTCAAGAGCTTTCGGGAACGGAGCATTTGGCAACACTGATTTCCAGTAGTCCTTAGCTGGTAATGAAGCATCAGCAGTTGCTGCAAGCAAAAGCTGCATGCCATAAAGGTTGAGGAAAGTGTTAAACGTACGTAGTACAGGAGCGACATGGAAAATGCATGAGAGGTTTGTGCTAGCAAGCATGGGTACTGATGGTTGACAATTTTCAGAACTTTTAACTTTATACACAAGACGTTCGTTATATAAAAGCCAAAATGTAAATACAAATGTTGCATGAAATTTAAAAAAAATACTCACAGAAAGTAAAGAAAACTTGAGAAGACGAAAGTACTCCATCATGCATGAAACCTCCACAAAAATCTAGTTATTGAACTTTGAAATGAAGCTAACTTGGGATGTATTGGAAGGTGATAAGATGCAGTCGCATTTATAGAGTTTTCTAGCAATGGGTTGACAGCTACCACTAGTTACTAACACACAAAACGACGAAAATACAGAAAGTAACGAAGGAAATTATTGAGCCTATAAAATAGTTTGCTGTAATAGTTCCATTTTTTTTTTTTTTTTTTTTTGGTTTGATTGCCATATTTATGAACTTTAAGCTTCACGGTGTGGATCGAATTGAAACTCTCGAATCTTCTTAATTTCAAGTATATATTAATTGTGTCTTTCTTTAATAATGTCTTTAAGAGAGTGATGAGGATTCTTAATTAGATGCTCGTCTAGCTGTAATGTAAATTATTTGTGTTCCATTAAAAATTAAATTTCTTATTGATATGTTTTTAGTATGATTGGTTCATTCTTAATAATCTATGAGGAATTGTGTCTTAACTTATTTTTTATTCTCTAATTTCTCCACAAAAAAAAAAAAAAAATGCATCGCGAGTCCATTTTCACAAGTTTTCCAAATTTTAGCTATTTTCTAAATTTTTCATGATTTTTAACGTTTTTTACATATAACAAAATAAAAAAGAAAAAGAAAGAAAAGGGATGACAGCGGGGAATTGTCTCTAATACTTCAATAATGTCTGCCACTCCATAAATGCTCTATTCACGTAAAACTAAAACGCATGTAATCATTGAAAATCACATTAAAGTTGATATGCTTTATAAGTGATTTATAGAAATGAAAATAATATATTAAAATAACAATAAAAAAACAAATCAATTTTAATATGTGATTGTCAATAATTTAAATAAATTAATAGAGTATAAAAAGATAGACACTTTTAGAATATGTACGGAGTTTATTTTCTCAATGAAAGGAATACGAGAAGGGAAAAACAAAAAAGTAAAAAAATAAAATAAAATAAAAAATACATAACAGAGGCCGGGATTAGGTGGGAGGAGGGGGCAAAGGAAACAGGGAATTAGGTGGGAGGCAAAAGAACAGGCTGATGGGCCAAACGAGGGTGTAAAATCTAAAAATAATTTTATATTATTTTAATATTTTTTAATTATTTAATTTTAATTAAAAAATAATAGTGTTCTGATATCACATCAAAATATCATCTTAATATAAAAATTTAAATTATTAAATAAAATTTTAAAATAATTTTATATTTTTCTCTAACAATATCTCTTAAAAAAAAAAAAATAAATAAAGCGAGAGAGAACTTTCTTCTTCTTCAACCGACATGCAAAAAAAATTAAAAACAAAGAAAGGAAAGAAAAACTAAAGGTGGGGAAATTATTATCCATACGCTTATTCGATACTAAATAATTGAAACAGAATAAGAAATTGACGTATTATTCAATAAGAAATTATTATCAGTGTATATCTTTACAGTGTATCTGCATCATCATCATCATCATCATGATCATCGTAGTCATCTCCCCTAACTTAATTCCTTGTCTTGTCCATCATCATCATCATCGTGAGTCATGACAAAGGACCTAAAATGATACTAATGTATTCGTCTGGTTTTTCAACAATCACGGTTACATAAAGATTTTAAGGATTTAATTAAATATTAACGAGAATCACGAGGACAATAGGCAATTGCCAAAGTGGAAACAAAGTTCAAAATTTTCAAAATAAGATTAGAGAGTCTGTCCAAAAACTTATCCAGCTTGGAGCAAATTATTTCGACTTGCCAAATTAGTTTAATCAAGAGAAGACGTAGGTGGGGTCCAAAATTTTCAGAGAATATTTGGACTTATTTCAATCATGTTGCGTCAAATGTTTTTATCCTTATTGATATGCTGTTCAATTATATCATATGTAAGTAAATACATATAAACTACCAAAATTCATCTATGTTGGGTGTATATATATATATATAAGTGACTGTTAACTATTTTATGTTAAAATGAATGAAAAAAGAAAAATATTTATATATAGGATGAATCTATAACAGATGATATCAATTTGTGAAGAAAATTAAACAATTCGAACCTTCACAGTGTAATGAGAAAATTATGGTGAGATTCAAGAATCCCACTACAACTTATAGTTAATAGAGATCACAAAAACTATCTTAGGATATCAATTTAAAATAAATCACAAAAATCATTAAGAAAACTTAAAAAACGTATATTTAATATCAATAATAATAGTCTTATGTTAAAAATTGCATAAAAAGAGGATTATTAGCACCAAAAATCTTGTTCGATTTTGATAGTTGGAAGATTTGAAGTTGAAACTAGCTTTATTTGTAGACGATAGTTGTTTTGGTGCAAGAAGATAAAGGAAGAAAGATTTTTAGTTCTTAGTTACGGAACAAGGCTCAATTGGATTAAGGTACTTAAAAATTTTTTGCATTGATGAGACTTAAATTATTAACAAAATCCCCTCCATAAATCAGGTCAAATTTCAAGGAATTGAAATATTATAAATATAAAATAGTTATTCTATAAATTTATTTTTGAAGAGAGAAAAATACCAAAAAAAATTACATCTTGAACCTCTAAAAATAATAAGAATATTTTTATCTAAACTCAATGTCATAACCCAATTTTGGATTCCTTTAAAGGAAAAAAACAAAAAAATAATAAAATAATAAAACAAAAAAAGGAAAAAAAATATTAAACCTCCCTAAAATCATTCAAAATCTTTCACAAATCTTTTTAAATTGGAAGCTCCTTATTTTTAAGAATCAAATCTCAAAATTAAGATTTGACAATTAAAATTTGAATTAATTTTGAGAGAAATTGTAGGAGGTTTCGGCCTATAAAAAGCTTTCGAATTCTAATTGGCCAAGAGGGAAAAAAAGAAGAAGAAGAAGAAGAAAAAACGCGACAAAAAAAAAAACAAAAAAAGAAAAAATACCGAAAACCTAAAAAGAAGAAGCCAAACACGCCCTAACCCAATAACCGAGACCCGATTACCCGTTTACCCAGTCGAAACTTTTAAGCCTCAATTGATCGCTTTCCGATTAGATTTTGACCACGATCAACATACCCACGTGTAGCCCATCACTAGATGGGTCCATCAACACTAGTTAGAGAGAGAGAAAATCACGAAGGAGAGAGAAATCGAAGATCAAACCACCACAACCCGAATCGAAATAATACCCATTCGTTTCTCTCAAATCCGATCACCAACACGAAATCGACCACCACGAGCCGATCGTCGGTCTCCCTTCAATGTTTTCATATAAACATCTCGACCCAACGACATCGTAAAATGATTTAATTGAGCTCGACCCATTTTCGACCCATTTTAGCCAACCCGAAAAAATTGAGTCGATCTAGGACGAATTGGAGGTCCTAACCACTATAGACATCTTTCTCTCGACCGTCCGAGTTGACCGATGGGCTTAGAATTCCGAGAGGAGGTCGGATTCATCGCCGGTGAAGAAGGGAGATCCGACCCGACCTTTGGATGTTCCGATCTCCGTCTTCTAGTGTTGTCTCCGGATGAGACCACCACCGTTAGACTCACCGTGACCGGATCTACAAGGAGGGGTGGTCCACGCATCCGAAACAATCACCGGAAAGGTGAACGGTCACTTGACAATGACTTTTGGCATTCTAGGGGCATTTTGATAATTTTACAATGTAAGTGAATTTTAGACTTGTTTGATTTATTTTATGTGTTTTGTAGTTTTTTTTTTTTTTACATATGTATGTTAGAAACTTTGAAGATACATAGTTGTGAAATTTATTGCAACATGAGATTTTTTTCCTTTTTTTTATGATTAAAATATTGTATCAACGAGTCTCCTATTTATTAGGGATGGACAATTATTTCGATATATTTAATTTTTTTTAAATTTGTTTCAGTTGATTTTAGCTAATTAAAATTTTAAAATTTTTCTTAAAAAAAATAAAAAATGTTATTTTTATTTATTTTTTTCGACGAAGTCTCCTATCTAATAGGGACCGACGTCACCAAAAATCTAAAATTCTCGACGAAGTCTCCTATCCGATTGGGACTAACGTCACCAAAAAATTTATTTTTTAAATCAAGATATCCTCCGACACATCAATTGTGTTAAGACTTAAAGTGGATCCGATGTTCGAATTGACGTGTCGTCCGACGAAGGGGACCGACGATCGTTTCAATACGATGTCATGCTCAAAATTAAAAAATTCAATTTGTCTAAAACAAAATATGGGAGATTAAGAATCAGAAAATAATTTGACGTAAATAAAATATTTTAGGAGATAAATTTAGAGCTAAATCGGACGTGGTACCTTTTTTCGAAAAGGGCGCTTTTGGGTTATTGATATCTTCCCAAAAGCGTAACTAACTCCTTACCATAGAATTTCCGAATCGATTGTCCGTTTTAGGTTCCTAGTTCCTTTAATACTAGGTGGCGACTCCAAACTTTGTAAATAAACTTGTAAATACCAATCTAATTTTAGATATTTTCGAGGAGTCCTGTCTAACGTCGGGTAGTGACGAATGGCGACTCCATCGGGGATTAGAGTTAGGCCATAGGTTTAGTTTTTATTTTATCTCCTATGTTTATTTTTGTCGTTTTATTTTTTAAATTTTATTTATTTATTTGTGTATATATTTAAATTTTTTTTCTACACGTTTATTTTTGAATTGGGTTGTATGCCTTTTCTTTTCACCGTTGTACACACCATGAAGAAAACCCCTAAAAGCTGCGGACTCGAGCCGAACCCTAATAGGAATTAGATAGAGTGATTTGGAGGCGAGTATGACGAAAGTCTACCGATGCTCTTCCAAACTCTCGTTTAGACTGAAACTCACTCTATACATTGAAAAT